TTTTTTAGTTATCAGCGGACATAACATCTTTGTTTGTATGTGGTGCTGAGGATCGAACCCAGGCCGCACGCATGCCAGGCGAGCATACACTTGAGCCACATCCCCAGCCCACAACAAGCTTCTTGGTCAACTCAAATTTTTACTGCTCTGCGCACATCTAAGAATGACCATGAAAGCACCTAAGTTTTGATTGCAGGTTACTGATAAATTTTGGCACATAGGAGAATTTGCAAATATAGAACTCAAAGAATGAGGATCACAAATATATATATATATAGTCTCTTTGCCATCTTTAAATAATGGACGCTCACTGCAGAGCTGGATCTGCATTAGACAATAACTCCATGAAGCCTGACCTGATTCGAAAATGAAAGCATTTTATCTTCCTTCCAATGTGCTGTCCTCACAATGGCAAGTGTGCCAATTATTTCAAATGTGGGATTTTTTTTTCTGAATACTTAAGAGATAGTAATACTAATAGTAGTAGTGACAGCAGCTAAAATTTCCCAGGTGTTTTCTATGAGCCAAGCTCTTCACATGGATTATTTCAATGTCATTCTCGTAATGTAATCTAAGGTAGGTACTACTGTTATCCTGAGGGTCCAAGGAAGAAATCGAAGCCTGAAGAATTCATCAGCTTGGCCAGAGAGCAAGTCACCTCAGTCATCTAACTCGGGTCTCTTCGTGACTAGCCTGAGGTTAACCCCTTTGCCATTTTATCTCTCTACTTTCATTTATTTACTTTTTTTGGTGTGTGCTGAGGCTGGCCTTCAACTTGTGATCCTCCTGCCTCAGCCTCCGGCATTGCTTGGCATTGCTCGAATTAGAGGCGTCCACGACCACACCCAGCCATTTACATCTTTCTTCATTGCAGTACTGGGTACTTGTTGCTGGGCATGATCGGTCATGCCTGCATTCCCAGCAACTAGGGAAGGAGGAAGATTGCAAGTTCAAGGCCAGCCTCAGCATTTTAGCAAGATCCTGTCTCAAAAAAGACTGGGGATATAACTTAGTGGTAAAGTTCCTCTGGGTTCAATACTCAGTCCCCCCTTGCCCAGCAAAAAAAAAAAAAAAAAAAAAAAATCCCTTACTTGTCAATGACCATACAATAAGCAGTAACAAAGCGGAGAGTGGGAGTAGAAGAAGGTATGCTCCACCCGACTCAGGGCCTCACACATGCTAGGCAAGCACTCGATCACTAAGGTACATCTCCAAACCTTTAGTTTCAGACAAAGTGTCACTGGCCTCAAACTTGTAAGCCTCTTGACTATAACCTCCTGAGCAGCTAGGATTACAAACCTGCACCACCACACCTCGGTCTCCATCTCAGGGATGAGGATGCAGAAGTAGGAAACTACCAACTGCCTAAAACCAATCATAAACATGGGCAAATATGTCCATTTGCTACCCAAGTGTGTGAGATCTGAGGGGTGCCCAGCATATCTCATTCATCTTTGCATTCCCACCGACACAGTGTTTGGCACATGGAATTCACTAAATGCCAATGGAATAAATTGTTGACCATCTTAATGTTGACAGTTTCAGATAATGCTTCAAGTCCAAAGCCTAAATTCTGGAGTTATCCATAATGTACCATTCCATACTAAAGTCAATGATCTCTCTCTCTCTCTCTCTCTCTTCCTAGTGCTGCATTTAGGTGTTGAACCCAAGGGTGCTCTACCAGTTAGCTACATCCCCAGCTTGTTTTTTTTAGTTTTTGAGACAGGATCTCACTAAGGTGCTGAGGACCTAAGTTGTGTGGCTAGCCTTGAACTTGTGATCCTCTTGCCTCAACTTCCTGAAGTCACTGGGATTACAGGCGTAGGCCACAGCACCCAACTGACAATGATCTCTTTAAGTTTCAACTTCCTTCTTCCTCATCCTCCCAAATAAAATCCTAAAGTGGAAAGTTTGAACATCGGCTCTTGGAAGGAATCCATAGTGAGTAGAGCTTATTATCAAATGCTCTCTTACATGTCGTTTTCAGATTTAATAATACTAGTGAGGACAAAATTATCTGTGGAAATTTCCTGGTCCCAGGCACTGTATGATGGATCTTTAAAGGAGCTATTATTGCAGAAGGGATTTTCCTTTACTCCTCAGGCTTCCACTTGTTTTTTTTTTTTTTTTTTTTTTTTTTTTGTGTGTGTGTGTGCTAGGGATCATACCCATGGCCTTGTGCATGCAAGACAAGCTAAATGAATTCACAAAGTAGTTGGATATAAAATCAACACCCATAAATCAAAGGCATTTCTGTACATCTGTGACAAAGCTGCTGAAAGTGAAACTAGGAAAACCATCCCATTTATAATATCCTCAAAAAATAAAATAAAATACCTGGGAATTTATTTAACAAAAGAGGTCAAAGACCACAATGGGCTGGGGATGTGGCTCAAGCGGTAGTGCGCTCACCTGGCATGCATGCGGCCCAGGTTCAATCCTCAGCACCACATACAAAGATGTTGTATCCGCCAAAAACTGAAAAATAAATATCAAAAAAAAAAAAGACCTCCACAATGAAAGCTACAACACGCTAAAGAAAGAAATCAAAGAAGACCTTAGAAGATGGAAAGATCTACCTTGTTCTTGGATGGGCAGAATTAATATTGTCAAAATGACCATACTACCAAAAGCATTATACAGATTCATTGCAATCTCAATCAAGATCCCAATGACATTCCACATAGAAATAGAAAAAGCAATCATGAAATTCATCTGGAAAGGGGCTGGGGATGTGGCTCAAGCGGTAGCGCGCTCGCCTGGCATGCGTGCGGCCTGGGTTCTATCCTCAGCACCACATACCAACAAAGATGTTGTATCCGCCGAGAACTAAAAATAAATATTAAAAATTCTTTCTCTCTCTCTCTCTCTCTCTCTCTCTCTCTCTCTCTCTCTCCTCTCTCTCTCTCTCTTTAAAAAAAAAAAAAGAAAAGAAATTCATCTGGAAAAATAAGAGACCCAGAATAGCTAAAGCAATCCTTAGCAAGAAGAATGAAACTGGTGGCATTACTATTCCAGACCTAGAACTATACTACAGAGCAATAGTAACTAAAACAGCATGGTATTGGCACCAAAATAGACCTGTAGACCAATGGTACAGAATAGAGGACACAGATTCTAACCCACATAACTTCAGTTATCTTATATTAGACAAAGGCACCAAAAACATATATTGGAGAAAAGATAGCTTCTTCAACAAATGGTGCTGGGAAAACTGGAAATCCATATGTAACAAAATGAAATTAAACCTCTATCTCTCACCATGCACAAAACTCAACTCAAAGTGGATCAAGGACTTACGAATTAAACCAGAGACCTTGCACCTAATGGAAGAAAAAGTAGGCCCAAATCTCCATCATGTCAGATTAGGTCCCAACTTTCTTAATAAAACTCCTGTAGTGCAAGAATTAAAACCAAGAATCAATAAATGGGATGGATTCAAACTAAAAAGTTTCTTCTCAGCAAAAGAAACAATCAGTGAAGTGAATAGAGAACCTACACAAGCACATCAGATAGAGCACTGATCTCTAGGATATATAAAGAACTCAAAAACCTTAGCAGCAAGAAAACAAATAACCCAATCAATAAACGGGCCAAAGAACTGAACAGACACTTCTCAGAAGAGGATATACAATAAAAAACAAACATATGAAAAAATTTTCAACATCTCTAACATTTAGAGAAATGCAAATCAAAACTACTCAAAAAGATATTATCTCACTCCAGTCAGAGTGACAGCTAATAAGAATACAAACAACAAGTGTTGGTGAAGATGTGGGGGAAAGACACACTCAAACATTGCTAGAGGGACTGCAAATTGGTACAGCCAATATGGAAAGCAGTATGGAGATTCCTTGGAAAACTGGGAATGGAACCATCCTTTGACCCAGCTATCCCACTCCTCAGTTTATACCCAGAGGATTTAAAATCAGCATACTACAGGGACACAGCCAAATCAATGTTTATAGCAGCACAATTCACAATA